AGAACGGTTGGCGAAGGGTAGGAGGTACATTCAACAGAACACCGAAAGTAATAAAATAGTTCTTTGCTTTCTTCTGCAGACCATAGTCCGTGATGGCAAGAGAGAAAGCATCATGAGCACGCTGTTCGTCTCTCCATCTGACATTGAGAATGGCCAAATCATCGTCTGCCGAGCTACCAACAAAGCCGTTCCGAGTGGAAAAGAGACTTCTGTCACCATTGACATCCAACGTGAGTGTGGTGGAGTGTGCTCATCTTTTTCTGTCAGCTTTTGCATTTTATTCCACCCAATATTCACACTATCAAAGATGGGGTTTTTTTTTCCAAAAGGCAACTGGACTTTCTTTTTATTTGAAGACATTTTGCTTCTCATCCAGTTTGAGACCCATATACACTGATCCCACACGCATTTACACATTGAGTCAGGTGACCCTGAGGGCACAGATGAATCCACAAGTGGCCTCAACAGTTCTCAGGGAGAGTGCTAACGACCAGATGATTGCAGAGAAATATAATCCTTCCATTTCCCTCCTCTCATCCTGTCAGAACTTAGCCTTCCATCTCGCCCACCGTCATTCCAAAACCAATGAAACTTCTTGGATGAGAAGTGAAACATCATCAAGGAAAAACCAAGAAAGTTCAGTTGCCTTTTGAAAAAGCACCTTTGAGACAACCATGACCTGAATGTCTGAGTATCTCCACAGACAATCACACTGTATGGAGAAGGAATCATAAATGAGATTGCCTATATATTTATTGTGGTCTATCCTCTTTTACCTAATCCAATTAACACAAAAAGTTATTGAAGAATTACTAACACACTCAGCCACCTGTAACTCCAGGATATTTGGGGGTGTGTGGGAGAGGTGAAGAAGAGAAGGGAGCTTGGTAATTAAACTGGGACACCTCCTAAGTCAGTATACCTGTGTATGCACACACTAATTTAGTTGTCTCCTTGTTCGCTTGTTTGATGTTGAAATCGATCAGCAGAACAATGCAGAAAGGACCACATTGAGATGACAGTAATGCCAAACTTCCTTTTTTTATGGTTGGAGACGGTTGCTGAATTCTCAAGGGTTTTCAGTAATGTAAGAGACAGAGAGTAGAAATAAGGAATTTGTCTTTGCCTTGATGGAAAAATAAAATAGATTTCCACATCATAGATTTTTTTTTTCGTAGTTAAGAATAAGGCTTTAGAAGATGCCAGAACATGTCTTATATTATTGAACACCCAACAACTAGCAAACTTTTGATGTTATTATAGCATTCTATAGTTTGCCCAGGAGGAATGTTTACAATGAACAAATTCTTAGGGCATTCATGATACATGTACTGTAGCTAGAGATAGGAAAGCATGATAAATTGTCTGTGTTTATTTACTTGAAGAAATTGAATGTGTTGTACCTCTCCTCTCCCCCAAAAAGATCCAAAATGACATATGGAAATTTGCTACTATTTGAATCAATTCGCTCCTAGTGAGCAGTCTATCATTGTCCAGTCATCAAGGCCAAACAAGTCTTCTTAGCCGCATTGCAATGCAAGGCAGTTGTAGCCTAAATAATTTAGTATTTGCAATGGCTAGCAGTTATTGCCAGATGAATCGTCAAGATTCAAAGCATCCTGAAAATGAAGGTCTAGGGAGACACAGAAAGGGCAAAGGGGAAGATATGTTGCTGAGTTTACAGGTCTTGATGGCACTGTGCTTTGTTGTTATTAAAGTGGGGAAAACTTACAGAGAGGGGTTAATAATGTAATTTAGCTGGCTTGAGCTTAAATTGCTGAGAAGTGGTCTCAAGTCAACTATTGCGAGAGAAACAACAGCGTAGCTTGTAAGTGGAGTGAATAGGATATCAGCCCAGAACAATGGACACTCACATGGGAAGCAGGTCAGAGGAAATTATGGATGTACACATAGCATTATTGAATGCTAAGTTGTAAATGAGAAGGTGCAAAAGTCTTTTTAAGCAGCAAACAGGGTTTACTTTAATGGTTATAACCTGTGGACAGAGTATGCTTGCATCACAAGTAAAAAAGTAGACTTTTTATTAGATTCAATTCAATTTAATTTAATATTTTTGTTAATGCTGCCGAACTCCCAGCAGCTCTGGATGGCTTACAGATTTGTCTAACATTCAAAAACAAGCAACAAGATAAAAACAGAGAAACAATACAAAACAAAGGAACAGTGATGCCAAAGGAAAACAAAGCTGGATGGGAACAAGAAAAAGAAAGGAAGGAAGTATCAAAGTCCTTGACATGGCATGGATGAAGAGCCACATCTTTAGGGCCCGTTGATATACCAGAAGGGTGGGGGACCATTCAAATCTTAGGGCAGAGAGCAGAGAGCAGAGGGCAGATTCTTAAAAATTCAGGGAGATATTCGGAGAAGTTTCTACCCTAAAAGTAGCCCATGTTGAACTGTCTGACACTGTCAAATATCAGAAAGGGACCACAGGACATTTTGTATTAAGCCATAAAATGCTTCATGGTCATTTTTAATGTCGTAAAATATTTTCTACAATTTGCCAAATTTCAGTTCCACAGGAAACGGGTCTTGGAGTTTGGGTGCATTCTGTAAGTTAGCCAATTTGAAAAAGCTGGGTTGAAAATACCTTGCACCATTTCTCCCAGTTAAAAGTTACAGACACAAAGGTGCTTCTTTTTAACGGCAACTGAACTTTTGGGTTTTTTTAAAAAAAAAATATTTTACTTCTGATCCAAAAAGCTTCTTCAGTTCTGACTGAATGGTAGAGAACGGAAGGATTTATACTCCTTGCAGTCATCTGGTCCTTTGCACTCTCTCTGAGAGTCATTGAGCCCACTTGGAGAGAGTCATTGGATGAGAAGTGAAACATCTTCAAGGAAAAAAAACAACAAAAAAAGTCCAGTTGCCTCTTGAAAGAAGCACATTTGGGACAACCATGACCTGGATGACTAAGAATCTCCATCAACCATTACAGACACAAGAAATTTTAGAAGTATATAAATTCTAGGATAGCATTCCAGTTTGAGCAGGCATGCCTGATGAGCATGCAACATGTCAACTACCTTCCAATGTGAACACGGTGATTCCATAAAAACTCCCAGAATAAGATTTAAAGAATGAGATGTATTCATTGGGGAAATCTTAACTCTTTTAGAATGAAACCTCGTGCAATTGGCCATTCTTCTTTAGACCAATGGAAGTCACTATAGCACCGTTATTCCAGCTTTTTTCATACGAGCCATTTCAAATATTGGTAGTTTCAGTTTGAACTGATGTTGCTTTTGAGTAGCAATGCTGCAAGAGATGAATGGCATGAGAGCTGAATTTGTTCTATGAACCAATAACCACCCCCATTACTTTACAGAAATAATATTTCTTCATGGTTGAAAGGACATCATAAATATCTACATGTACTAATACAAGTCGCCTACTTTCTGCATCTTTCAAGGAAGACAGATTAAAGGGAAATCCATTTTATATAAATGCAACATGGGTGGCTGAAATAAATCATGGGGGCTCAAGATGAAAGTAGCCAATATGAGCCCTTATCTGTCATTAAACAGCAGAGGACCTCCAGCTCTTTGTCCCACTCAGGTCTCCAAAAGAGAAACCTGGACTTTGTTACAAAGCGTGAGCAGCTCCAGCTGAAACATCTGTTCAAAGTGATTTTCATACCATCAGCCACATCAAAACAGGCCTCCTGTGAGTAATGTGCCAAACATCACAAGTGGGATTAAAATCATGTTTAATGGCTTTATATGCCATAAACTATTTATATAGCTAAAGTCCAGAGGCTACATGGAAAGCACATCCTGTGTGCCAGGATGGAACAAACTGGAGGGGATGGCTTTTATTGAGTTTTCTTGCATCGGTAGCTTTCTTCTGCTCTGCTCACACTCGGTGTTTAAGTTTGTAACTTTGTGATACCTTCAGAAATCAGAAGTGAGCAAGAAATAGTAAACCCACTCCATTGTCTATGCCACAAAACATTGGCAGTATGATTGCTTAAACTTGGCAGTGTGGTTTCCTTTGAGTTAAAGCAAAAAGCATTCAAAATATATAGTGTAATCCCTAAAATAGACTTAATACAGCTCGAACAAATAGAAAGTTCCAGCCTTGTCTCATTCATTGCCTCCTTCTGTCTAATATGATGGTCAGCTCCATCCTCAAATATTAAGAACAGGCCCAAGCTGTGTTTGCATTTCCACCTTATATTTCCACCAACTAAACATTTCCAAGAAGAAGAATGGATTGGGGCTTTCATTCCATTGCAAGGAAAAATTTAAAAGTGCTTTGTAGCTATGCTGGTTTATAAGCAGTCCCTTTCATGAGTTAAAATGCAGAGGCATCTCCTTCTGTGACTCTATTACTTACAAAAGGTTTACACGGAATGATCAATTGCAACTAAATAAAATCCCATTATGCTGAATAAATATTTTTCTGCATTTATGCAAATTTCACTTGATTTCTAGGGTAGAAATCTTTAGCTTGCCTTTATAAGTCCATTAGGAAGCAGGATGGATGTTTTGATTTTTCACAAGGAAAATCAAAAGATGTTTATTTGTCCTTAACCTACAGTAGGATTTGGTAAACTTCTATAGGGGGAAAACATACATCCAACAGCAGAAAGAAATTTACTTTCTATGAGTACAAAGAGGATCCATTTGTACATCCTAAGCACAAGGATTGTATTGTCAAACAATGAGGGAACTATCAAGAGAAGCTTGATTCATACATAATAAAGGAAGGTGATTAGTTGTTGTTGTCTAACAATAGAGAAGTGTCAAGATGCCTGCAAATGAATTAAAAGTGTACCGGATGTCTCTGGGCTGTTATGGGAGCACATCTCATTTAAATTCCAACCTGTGCTTGCCTTTATTGTAATTTGGATTGCACATTTTAAAAATGAGATTAAAGCAAATTGAAAATACCTATAATTTCTCATCATAATTTCCCAACCAGAAGATCGTGGTTATACTCCCAGGGAGGCATTCATCCCAGCTTGGTAAAATCCTCACTACTGCAAGGGTAAAGTCAGCAAGAGAATAAGTTACCCCAAGCTATTTTGATTATTACTAGGCTCTCATTTTTTTTTTGCTTTTCTTTCATTCTTTCCATCCAATCTGCCCTTGCTAAGTGAGTTTCATTTCTTTTTTTAAAAAAAGTAAAATTTTCTGGTTTTTCCAGTTCCTTCTAAAAACTCCTGCCGTACTCTAAACAATGTGATGTGCTGTAGTGAACCTTG